AAAGGTGATACTGAGGTCTTTAAATCAAGCAAGTAATTCAAGTGGGCCGCCTTCAGCGATTCATACATTTTCCTAACAACAGCTAAACTATATGAACCCGCAATTACAAAAACATTTAATCACTAGCAAGGTAGCACTTTTCTCGTACACTACTACCTGAATTTTCGTGTTTAATTCACCTTCTTGTTATCACAGCCACTAGGTGGGGTCAACACCTCAATCCTTTTATAAATTAGTGACAGTCATTCCTTTATATCAGCTTAAATTATTAAATCCCAAAGTATGTGAAGGTAAATGTAGAAATCCTAAAATTTCGTCATCTCAGTATTAAATTGAGGCCTCAGGGACTGCAGGCAGCTATTCGGATCCAAATCACCACTTACCCCAACCCAGCTCATGTAACGAGTCATTTGGTTGTTGAAGGCGCTCCCTATAGACTTGCCTAATGACACGAGCGTAAAGTCCATTTTTAAAAGCCAAAATAAAACGCGCATCTATGGCTGGGTGGCAATGAAAAGAGCAGTGGCATGGGAGAAGAGACGATGGGTACTAGCTACACGGAGCTACTTTAATTTATGCATTGCATTTAATGTCCCTCGAGTATCGACTAGCCATTCAGTCCATTAAATCCTCGTCACAGAAGGGACGCAGTTCTACATTCATCAAAATCTATCCGAAATACCACTTACGGTGGGATCAAATAACTTTCGTCCTTCTCCAAAAACGAGTGTATGACATTTGTGGATGAAGTGAATCAACGATCATGATGACCATTGGGAATGGTACTTAAAGTAGATGTTTATTTAAACCCTCACAAAGGCGCGGTCTATTCAGCCTCCATTTACCAGTCGACATTTTGGTAAATTTCTATGTTGAGTTTTGCAATACGGTGTTGAGGGCTTGTTTCATCTTGCTAAAACGGACGATGGAATTTTCTACAGACTGATTTTGTAGTGCTGGATGTTTCTTAAAATGGAAAATAGATGTGTGCACAGAAGTTGACTTGTTGGCTTTAGTTTGCTAAGCCTAAGAAGTTAAACAATTCTTTTGTGAAAGCTCATGAATTGAGCAGTCTTGCTGGGAGGAAGTGGTACATGCTTCGGAAGATCAGATATTCGATGAAAGAATGGCCTGTTACTAGCCTATTTAAGCACTTTCACGAAGTGCCCCCAATGGTGCTGATAAAAAAGATTTGTTGTCTCACCCACATGATGCATGACTGCAATATCCTGTCTTCAAATGCCGTGTGGAAAATTTTGCGGCACGCCTCTGCCACTATGGAACTGCGTTAACCTCGACTCACAAAGCAGTCAGGCTAAAATTTCCAGCTTTAGGGATAAAGAGAATTCGGAAATTGGGTAATAATGCAGTAAAAGATCTCATCATATCCGATCGACTGACACATGTCCATTGGCCTAGAGTGTCTACACCCTGAAACCTATGTTATGGCTGATCCAGGAGCCCTACAAACTTCCTAGGTTCTCTCTCACCTTGGGTTCCTTCATATCAATTTATTAGATTACTTTTTGCCGCTTTATATAAAAACATAAATTTGGCATTTACTGCGCTAAAGAGGAAAAGAAGGATTAATATTGTCTCTGGGTTAATTTATGACACCCACTTTAATTATGATGAAATGGGGCCAAATATAAAATGAGCTGATGTTTCTATGACTGCATGAGTCTGGATCCTGTAGAATTGCCAAATCCATGTAACATTATGCAAGACGAAGACTATACTATGGACGTCTTTTCCCCCGACAGGGTATGATCCTCTTTTAACTGGCCTTAGCCACACCAGAGATCATTGGCACACAATGCCATTGGCTAATCATGAGGGAGTGAATAACAGTGCGAGTTTCGGGATCATTCTAAAGAGGTCAGGAAATAGTCATGAAATGATAAATGGGTAGAAAATAGAAATTACCAAGTTTTGTGAGACTGTAGACGCTTCACAACGAAATATTTTTTCATCTGTAGGGAGTAGGGTCGACCGATGTCTTGGGAAGAATCCACACACTTTAAAATGACTATTTTTTGGCTAAAATTGAAATATCACAAGCTATGACATTGCAAATGAGATAGCTTACAGGCTTTCAGATTAGTTCAGCAAATACAGGAAATGCTATCAGTTATATCAAAGTGCTGCTATTAAAGCGAGGGAGAGAGTAAGCGAGAGAGAGATGTTGAGAAATGGCATTCGAAATAACAGTATCCACTGCCCTTTGATAATTAAAATTATGACCCGCATGCTTTGTGCGCAAATTATGACAATGCCATTTCATCTTTATCAAATTCACTTTCTAATTCCACTAACCGGATGAGTAAAGGAATTTTTGACTTGATTTTTCAGGAGGAGGTGTTGGACAGAGTGGGGGGTGTAAAGCTCAATGCAATGATATCTTGTGGCTTTCAGAAGCCTGTATTATGAAGTCCTGATAGGTGTGTCAGGTCATTGGTACAGTCCAGTGATTAAAAGATTCCGATATGTAAAATTAAGCTTTTTATTTACAGGGGATCAAAACAACTGCTTGAAAAATAGCCAGGATATTCCAATCCATTGAGGAAGTTCTGCTGCACCACGACAAAGCATGGCATCGGATCAAATAATGCCTTCGTCATTCGTGTTCTCCTCACATTTTTTCAAGGTAAGGGCACATTTTCCTGGTGCTCGACAATGACATGCAAAAAAGACGTCTGAAAGGTGGTTGACCCTTCAGTGTTTGCTACTACCGATAAAGTGTTTCATTAAAATGTAGAATATACAGCTAGCCTGTATCGCACTGGAAAAGGCTAGTATATAACCAGTCGTGAGTGTTTTCGTAAACAAATTATTTAAAAGAGTCCTCTGTAGCTATCCGATTTTTACTATGTTACAAAAATTAAAGCATATATTTTAGTGCGGTAACGGTTAGCTGAACTCTTGGTTATAATTACGGGCCGCTTAGGGCCTGCCCCAATGCACCTTCGCTTGGCAGCGTGGACCATGCTGGTAGCCTCAATCCCTTCTGCCTGTCTCTAATACATATTTAGCTCGAGTGTTACGCCTGTTTTCATCTTCAGGGAAGTCTCAGAGCGCTGCAATATTTGCCTTCTAGCCTAAAGACATGAATAATTTTCAAGCAAATTCTTTATTTGCTTAATAAAAACATGGCCGTTTGACAAAGTGGAGCTAGCGCCCTCTTCCATAATTTGGCCCTGCGAATATTCCTAGGATAAGCAAATTTTAATTCAAATGGCATTTGTGCGCATTAGCAGACTTTAACCTTCATATCCTTTGCAGTAATTCTTGAACCAAAGTTCTTTTTCTGTCAAAGTAAACGCATCTGACTACCTGTTAATTAAGTAAGTTTCTGGCCTCCAATTTTGGCAACTTTAGAAAAACCAAAAATGGACTAACCAAAAAAGTTAGCATTTTTTCATTAACTAATCAGTTGGAAGTTCCAGTTTACAAATACCTCTCCACACGCGCCGCGTACTTATTTTCTTCTTTCATAAAATTTTTCTGCAAACTAAAAAACGTTTCACAAACAGGTAGAAGTAAGGAGTTTGTCGGTATAATTCTTTTCGATCTTGATGTTGTGTGGAAGGTATTTTCGATAGGAGAATTCGGCTATGCACAAAAACTTAATTACAACTTCATTTCACATTTTTTACCCTTCCCACTAAATCTCGTTGTCCTCATATTCTAATCCCTGCCTATTCTTATAAAAGCCCTACTAAAGTCAAAGAGGTGCGAAGAAATGCTCAAGAAACAATGTCATATTTCATCAGCATGTCAAGTTAAGCTACTCATAGCTATTAAGTAGTTAGCCCTTCATCATCTTCCATTGGTTTGGAGTATGGTTGGCTCGTTTGCAGGCAATGAAGCCATCTAACTACTATTTAAAACAAGATCTGAAATAGCAACCTGGAGAGGAGCTCTCGCTTAAGACCCAAAACCCCTGACTTATTCGTCTAAGTAACCGACCGTGATGATAAACTACAGCTCCAGAGACCCACTCTCCTAGCGGGATTTCAAGTGATCAGTGAGTGAGTGAAAAAAATAATGAATTAAATTCGCAGAGCTGCGATCAGAAAAGCCTACAAAAAGCGGTTAGATTAGAAGTTTCAAAAAAAGACGCCATCATTGGCTCTGGCCAACTTATTTCGTGGCGCTTTAAGGAGACAATTTCATGATTCTCCTCTACTAGAAAATGGGAAAAAATCGCAGAAGAGTGAACGTACGAAACCGATTTTCCCTCTACTCATTCTCAGCAGAAGTTCGTGACCCGGAGCCCGCAGCATCATCAGCAACCAGAAGGCGCTCTAGTTCCACTACTCCGAGAAAAGCGCAAGACTCAAGAGACACGCCAAGTAAAAGTCCACGAACACGTAGTCGGTCCAGTATAGAAGCTTCCAAAAGCCCCAGAACTGCAAGGGCCGCACAAGTAGTAGTAAAAGAAGCGAGCGGTAAGGGGACAGAGGTGAGAAAGAGGAGACGCAAGAAGGCGTCAACCACTAATCCCTCTCGAACCGGCAACATCGGGGAGGCAGTGACTCAAGAAATTGCTCAAAAAGGTGAGGAGGTGACCCTTTGCAATACTAGCAAGTTCAGAAATGATTAATTTGAGGCAGGTGGTGAAATCTGCTGCATCATTCTTAATAAAATAATGTAACATTATTTACTCGAAATGATTAATTCTTTTTTAAGATACTGAGATACCCGCACAGGAGAGGGAGCCCGTGGGGGTAAGTTCCACTGCGTCAGGGACAGTAAGTGAAAAAAGTTCCTCAATATCTTCTGATCAGGAGGAAACAAAGGCGAGGTCTGAGGTTATTGAAAGCAGCCCCTTGGATAGTGGCAGTGATCTACCAAAAATTGGTCATATGCCCTCTCAAGGGAGCAGTTTAGCCCGAACAGCCAGAGGAGAAATGACAAGGACAGAGCTCGAATCATCAGCAGTGGCTACTGAATCGGCTCCTCACCGTGGTTTGACATCATCCCCTGCATTATCGGAATCCGCTGTATGTATTCTTCCACAAAAATAGGCGTTTATGGCTGTTTTCCTCAAGTGTACAATTTAGGGACTTGCAAACTTCATGTATTTTCATGAATGGTAAAGGAGCTACCTCTACTTGAGGAATTCTGATGCCTTTTCCTCTTATATTTAACAGACGACTCCTAAATCTCCTGAAGAAGCAACACGATCCAAGCTTTATTCTACTTCGGTCTACAAGGCGCCCACCACCAGTGGCACTACTACGCGTTCACAGCGTTCATTCCTGATGCCACCACCACGAGGATCGGTGCGATCCTGGACCACGGAGCAGGTGGCTCAGTTGTTGCGTGAAACACCGTGCTGTGCACCCTACGCAAAGGCCTTTGTAGAGAATGAGATTGATGGAGAGGCTCTGGCTCTTCTCAAATACTCGCATTTTGTTGAACCACCGTTGAACATGAAAGTGGGACATGCAGCTAAATTTGCTAGTCGGGTACTACAACTTGCCGACAATCCGTCGACTACCTTCCATCCCTCTAGCTTTATTGCTTCTTTCCTTGGTAGAAAGAAATGAGGTGGTGTGTCTGACACGCCACATTTCTTACCCTTCCCTGTTCCGCCACCGCTCTTTTATTTGTGTCTAACTTCGGTTTCCTTGCCCTTCCCATATGTAGATGAGAAATTTTGACCTCTTCCCATTCATTTGGCTCTGTTGGTGTATTTAGTTGCTTTGACCTCTTTGGTTGGCTATGTATAGACAGACGGAGTTTGCTACTATCCTCTGACTTGATCAAAGGTTCTGTTGGTCTCCCACACGTTTATTAAAGGTTGGAGGGGCTGCCGAAGGAGGTGTAGGAAAGCGAGATAGATCCATGTGACTAGTGGAAATGTTTGAAGGATTGCAAAAGCGGATCAGGTGAGTAAAAAACACGCAGCTGCCAGGGACAAAATAAGCTGGATTAAGTAAGACGAGCACCTCATTCGGCATATAATTAGCTGAGCGGTCTGCAACAGAAGGACTGTATTGTCTGCAAGCCGCCTGAAGGTTTTAAATGGGTTGCATTTTAGGAATACCTAGAAATGCTGCCATCATGCATTATTTTGTTTTTCGGCAGAAGAGCTCTGCATGATGTTTAATTCACTTGCTGAGCTTCGACAGTCGAATAGCAACTCCTTGTTCTGCCCTACAGTTTTCACAAGTCATGGCCCTTTTTAGCTCTACCAATTCGACTAATTCTGCGTGGTCAGAGAGCCATCAAATGTTGCCAGCAGGTAGCCCCTGCTTTGCATCACTCCCGGGTGAAGGCATGAGTAATAACGAAACTTTTAAGTGAGCTGATGAAATCTCATTAAAGGAAATGCTCACAGTTGTTGAGTAAATGGCAGTTTCACTTCAGCTGACCTTGATTTCATGTCTGTTTGTAAGTCTGTTCCATTGCCCCTTTGACTGAGTCGCTATCTTCAGCCTTAGACAAAGTGAATAAAAAGAGCTCTTTCCTCATTTGATCGGTAAAATGAGGAGAGCTGGGGCTGATCTAGGAGGCGCCATCTTTGCTTCAGCAAGTTTGTTCATTGAGCTGGGAGACAACAGGTTTATTAATGGGTTGTCATTTTCGACATTCTCCAAGCCCCCTGTCATCACTCGTTAATCCATGACATACATCTAAAGAGGTAGTTCCACGAATCATGTCGTCGGTATAGACGTAAGTGTATTGGTTCGTCCAACACGTCACCGAACCCTACTAAGCGTAGAGAGCCTGACTTAAAGTGAGGAACCTTTAATTCCCATGATACATGACAAAGCACATCTGGATTGTAGGGTCTGGTACCCACCTAACGATCGGATCGTCTCCTAACACCATGAAATCGACTTCACTGCTGAGCTAAAGCTAAATAGAATTTATTTATTTTGCGCTTAGTCGACATATTTTGATATACTGAATCAAAAAATGTAAACAAAATCCTGTTTCAAAGGTTACTACTTAAGTGGGATGTTAAGTATGTCATTTTTTTGCGATGAGGTTAATGCCATCTTCGATGCAAAAGTGCGTAATCCACCGATTTAATCTGGGTAACACTCCCTCCTCATTCTTCGCTAAACATGTTTTATCATGAAGTCGGTGCAATGCGTAATGCCAACCTCAGCGTGAACGACCAGTCCATCACCGTCCACACGCCTCAGAGTCGTCTGCTTTGAAGGCGACACTTTGAGTGGTGAGAGCAAAGAATGTGAAAGAATACCAACCCTTAGTCAGTTATGGCAGAGGCTTTCCAGAGTAACTAGGCGAGAAGTTTGCCCACGAGATAGGTAGCTTCCTATAACTCACCGAAGTTGATTGACGAATGACTGAGTGAACAAATGTATGTGAAAGAGGTGGCTGATATCAGCGAATTGAGTAAAAAAGGAAGGAGGAAAAACTTTTAAAAAGCTGCCACATAAAATACGACATACCACTTACAGGGCTCAGGGAGTGTCATCGTGAAACAGGGTACCAGCTCTGTCACCCCCAATTCGCCTCATTGTCGGCTATTATTCCCTCTTCCTCAATCTCAACACAGAATGAGCACCCTACCAGAGAAGTGGAAATCGACAAAGGTGCAATCTTGTAGAAGTTCTGAAGTGTAAAGTGGCTAAGAGGAAGAGGATGACCAAGCCGATCCCCACTTTTGTGTGGAGCATCTGTACGAATGGTGATGCACATTTGGTGCCACCTATGCGTGGTCCCCTTCCCATTCCATATTTTCAATGAAAGAGTCTTTTTTGTTTACTACTTCGTAAATCCGAACACTCGCATTGATCAACTGCGAGGTCACAGCTGACGATAAAAACAAAGTTCAACTGAGCCAATCATATAATTTTGCATAGCAAAAATTTTTACTTTTGATGTGGTCAGTCTCACACTCGCTCAATCCCTCAGTGAGTGATCCCACAAAGCGAACTTATGAGTTTAAAACAGAGAGCAGAAGGCAGAAAGAGGCGATAAAGACATGAATTTTAATTGTGATGTTCTTCATTCCTCTCCTCCTCGCCTTTCGTACGCTTCTGTCGAGTTTGGTGTTTACCGGACGCGCGCCTCTGTGGCCGACAATGCTTTCTTTATGCAGATAAGGTGTCCTCCTGCTGACTCATTTGTAAATAAAAGCAGCATGTGATGTGTGCGTGTTAATTGTGGAGCCGTGGTGTGACTATTTCCTACTATTGTTAAAAAAAATACATCGAAGCACAAAACTGTCACCGATAGCTAGGCGCGCTATTCGGCTTTTACGCTGGGAGTTTCAAGAAGATGGCTTTGGTTGATTACCATTCCTGAAGGGAACATATCGTCCACAATGAAGTTGATATTCAAATTCTCTAGAGTCGTTTAAGTACCTCGGTACAACTTTTTTGAGATTCAAATTACCTATGAAGAAGGAACTGCTCACAGGTCATGACGTGGTTGGTTAAAAAAGTGTCAACAAGTCAAAAGCGACTACTTTTATTCAGCACAGTCAAACAAAATCAGTAATTATTGCACTTGATTAGCAGTCAGAAATTTTCTTAACCTAATCAAGTGTTTATGACCCTAAAAGGGGAAAAAATCATGCCATAAATCCACTTTTAAGCTTTGCCACCTCATCTGTCCCTCTGTGAACAGAGGTCCTGTTCTTAAAACGGCGTACAGGCATCACGATTCCTCTCCAAGGGTGATTGGCGGTTGCTCTTCAGAGCCAAAAAACGACAGAATTTCCCTAACAGCTCCAAAGGGATGGGTTAGCAATGATCCCGAATCAAATTACAGCTCTCCCAGCCGAACTTTCACTTCCCTATTGATCTGGTTGACAGCAGTCAGTAAGGCTTCCAAAAAAATGGGCTTGAAGGATCGTAACGGCAGGAGAGAGGCATAATAGCGATGACTGACAAGAATTAAGAAAATGAAACTCCCCAGTAAGGTCACAGGAAAGGAGGTGGGATAGATTCCTGACTTCATTATAAACATTTCAGTAAAAATCCACCTCCCTTCGATGAAGGCATCGACATCATCTCATAGGCTGCGATTTCTAGCCTTTGCTCCTCCAACTATGATATATTTAAACCCCATAATTTAGGCGAAAAACATTTGCATAATAAATTGGCACGCCTTTCACAAGTCCCTTGTGGCTAAAAATAAGTCAACCAGATGCAGGGAAGCATCACATTCTCTTCCTCAACACTGCAGTCCATCAACAATGGTGTTGCAGAGTGCCCACGTTTGACAAATGAGGCGTCAAACAGACAAGTAGAGAAGAAATGTTTAATGTAGAGGGGCAGGTGACACAGACACGAGGGATTAAGATTGAGTGAAAAGGGCTAACACATGAGAGGAGAAGAGAAGAACGCAGAAGAATGGATGAAGTAGGTCTTTCCCATCTCGCTATCTCTTTCCTTTTTTGACGTTCTACGCTTCTGCAAAGACTTTGCTTGAGATCTCCGGAGAAAGGGGGAGTGCTGGTGTCAACTGCAAAACTGCTGCTGGCAATAAGATTCTCTGGTTTCATTAAACGCAGGCAGTTCAGCCTCCACTTTGACCCGCACCGTCAAATTCTTCTCAATATGCAACAAGTCTGGCTTTTTGCGTCTCGCCGCCTCCGTTGGTGTGTTGACAACTTTTCTTTCATTAATTGTCAATTCACTCAATCTTTGAATGAGAGCGCGTTCCCTCCGTGCCTAATCAGACAAATGACCTTAGCTAATCAAGTTAGGGGGACTAGAAATAATCGAAGAGCGGGTGAGCTAATGGCGATCACATAAGTGACAAGTGACATGCTTAAATTTGATCAGTGCAGTGATAATTAGGTCCGATGGGAGGAATGATGGCATGACTTAGACCCAAGTGAATAACGCTTGACAAGTTTGGTATCAAATGTCTAAAATTGACAAGTATATTAGGAGAGAAATGAAAGGACTCTTGAATCCAAGACTGGGTCAAGAAACCACCAATGCTTCGTGATGCTTTGCTGTCACATCGCTATCAAAGCGGTCAGATGGATAAAGTAAAATTGTGGAGAAAAGTGGTAGTAATGGTAAGAAAACTTTCCCATCTCGCTATTTTCAATGTCTCATCTCAAGAAACAAATAACTGCACCTCGCCCTGGGCACCTTCTTCGTTGACTCACTGCCACGTGGTCATGGGATCGTCACGTGTCGAAGGAAGGTGACAATCAGGACCCGGAGAAGTAGCATCAAGGAAAAACGGAGGGTAGGGATGGGGTGGGGTAGTAACCCACCACCTTCAAGTTTTTGAGGAATGAAGAATAAAGTGAATGCGAAAACTTTTTCGATCGCTTACTTGCCTTAGGTGATTTTTTTCTTTTAGTAAAACACCGATCCTTCTACAGTCAAATCCCGTGGCTGGTAGATAGGTCTTTGAAGAGTAGACAATGGCCAGTGAAAATCGCGCACACAATGTACCACAGATACGACGGCAAGTCATCGCCTGCGGGGTAGGGAAATCGCGGGTGGATTGTTAGGGGCAACCAATAATATGGCTGCTGGCTTTAACGAATGGTGCTGCAAAAAAGCGCATTTCCCATCCCCACTCCATCGGTCAGTCAATCTGTCAGTAAACAATCATAAAATTCAATGTACTTTTTGATGATGTGAAGGATAGAACAAATTGACAGTTTGTGTAGCTTACTACCATCTGTCTTTCAAGCGTGACATGTAGCACTCACTTGTTGGGCTTTCATAACTCACGCAAATGTCTGATGATTACAACGGGTTGCACAAGTATTCATCTTAAATATCATTGGCGCATCTTGCCACGTTGTCAAATAACTTGTCAGTGGCACCAAGTAATGCTCCAATGCTTAAAGGGCCTTCCACAACTTTATATCTCGTTTAAGCTGGTAATTGGTTGCTGATCCTGGGTGGTACATCCATCTGCAGCACGCCTCACCTATCCAACAGATGGATGTTAAGCATATGAACTCAAACAGGCACGCATGCAGTTTGTTCAACCTAAGCAGACCTAAAAATTTTCAAACTTTTCAAAAGAGGACTCAAAAACCACTTCCCAAAGTAGCTGTCAATGAGTGTGGAGGGGCTCCTTACCTTCACCCAGAAATTGTAATAAGCTTCCAAAGATCCGGTAATCCTCCGGGACACCAACGGCTTGATGAGGTGCGCACCTTCAGGAAGGTGGCATTGTGATGGGCTGATCTGTAGAATTGGTCAAGAGGGTGTAGGAGCCTTCGTGGGAAGGCTGCATGGCTACTCCCCCTCCCTCGCCTTTCCTTCGGCTCACATCCAACATTCCTCTGATCTCTTACACACTTTCGTCATGCGAAGGTTATTCCATGCGTCGAGTGAATGTTTACAGGAATAAAAGGGCCAGCAACGCGGACAGCCACCACGGGCCAGTTAGCTGCAACCGCTAATGCGGCATTTGCGCCGTCGTCTGCCATCTTGACCAACTTAAAACACTTGTGCCGACTATTGACCAGGTGACACACATGCCATTTGCTTGTGCATGCAATGTCGGCACAGTTGCAACACTTCTCGTGTACACATAAAAACCAGAAATACTGGACTGATTTCAACGGTCGGCTTGACGGATTTCAAAAGAGAGGGGCATATCGTGTGGATAGCTCAACACTGAGGACACTGACAAGAGAAGGGCTGTCCAGAGCACTTTCTCTTCCCCGCGCTTCACAAAACGAAACCAGATTTGGATGATCTGAAAACGCCAGCCCTTGAGCTGCTAGGAGATGTTTCTGAAGGTATATGAGGTACGTGAAAAAATGACTGATATCATGAAAGACGGCTGAAGGTGGAGGGGGAAATCCAACACTTTTCTTCAAATTTGATTAACCAACTCTACCACTGAGCAAATGCTTCTGCGATTATTGACCAAGGTGGCGACTCAGCTTGAACAACGCAAAACCAGTGGGTTCGTGAGGATAGCGAGACCATGGATTCCTTGAACTTGACGAGATATGGAATTGGAAAAGTCTACTCGTTGTCTTTGTTTCCGGCCTGAGGATAATTTTTTAGGGCACCAACTACGTGGTGGTAGCCAAAGTAAGAGAGTGACCAGGAGGAGCACTGAGATGGAGTTGCGCAAAAGAAGAAAGCCATACACCTGCCTTCGATTTCCACGAGCAACATCAACATATTGGTGGTGTGGTTTTATGGCCTTGATAACTAGCTCCTAGCTTCGAAAACCACCGAAAAATTGAGTATTCTCCTGCGTTGAAGTTCTAGAATACTTCTTGGTTAGCGAATTCTTCTACGTGGAAATCGTCTTTGAAAACAAAGAACGACGTGGAACTTGAACCAGACACGTCCTTCAAAAAATACCCGACCGATCGAACCAAGAGCAAATGAGATGTCCAACTCAAACATTTGTACAACTCTTCCCCACAAATGGTCCAACTGCTTCAAGGGAGCACACCGTTCAGCCACAATTAAACTGGGATAGATTGAAGGTCTTCATTTGTACAGGGAGAAGGAGAGCCAGCAAGGAATCGTCAGACAAGTGCGCATAAAAAGGGGAAGGAAATGGGGCAGGAGTGAGAGTAAAACATAAACGGGAAGAGGAAGAAGAGAACAGAGAAGCAAAATATTATTTCACACAGCACCACTCCCGCTACTTCCACCGATGGGAGCGGCGGAGGCGGAAGAGTCATACGTAGGGTCGACAATTTGGCGCACCCGATGGGCGAGTTTCAATGCGTGTCCAATCTTCATTTTAATCGGTGCATCAATAAAGTGAGCTGGTGTAAGGAGAAGCAGAGCCTCGCCATCGATCTCGTTCTCCACGAAGGCATCCGCGTAGGTAGAGCAGCTCGGCGTACCACGCACGAACTCCGCCACCAGAGTGGGTGACCACGACTTCATCGGTTTGCGTAGTGGAGGAGGTAGCTGTTGTAGACGCGCACTAATGCCGCCGCTGCTACTACTAGCGGTATTTGTTGACGTCGATGTCACCGTTGTCGATGTCGGTGGCTTGGCAACCGACACGGGATGGGTCCGTGATATTGTTGATGACGCCAGGGATTGAGGAACCGTCTATGAAAGTTAAAATACAACACCGATCCTTAAATAAGAACATCCTGAAAAATCACCTTTTCCAGTATGAAATAACGCTTGGTAACCTTAAAGCGGAAAAAAGTTTTGATTAATTTATTTACATCCTAGCCCAACGCGTATCGGTATTCCAATTGTTGCAGCAGCATACCTCCTTGGAGCACATAGTTAAATGACCGATTAAAACGTCCTAATATTCCGTAGAATTACTTACCGAAACCGTGGAAGAGAGTGTGGAGGCGAATGGAGTCGATACAACAGGAAGTGGAGGTGGAGGAGTGGAAGCAGACTTGGTAGTTGATGGAGATGTTATGGCGCTCAATGCTGCCGTTGGAGTCGATGTCTTAGAGACCGCTTGGGATGTACCGCCACTGCTCTGGTAGACCGGATGAATGGTCATCTTCAGACCACTACCCCCGACACTAATCGACGTGTTAGTGGTGGTTGTCGTTACCGTTGTTGTTGGCTCAGAAACAGAAGCAGCAGCAGCATTACTTGTGGGTAAGGTTGAATTCCCTGTCGTCGCCACCTTTGTCGATGTCGAAACAGTCGTATTTCCTTCCTCATCATTCGTTTTGGACTTTGTAGCGGCTGAGGGCGATAAAAATAGACGATTTGAAGAAAAGATTTTTATGCTGATTCAAAATAAGTAGTTTTCTGCTTTGACTTCCAAAAAAAGGATCAAAATAGTGTAAAATCGCATTTTTACTTACGGGACTTATCACTGACGGAAATCTCCTTGTGACCATTTTGAGCAGGCATCGGGACAGCCTCGTCGCCGCCGGCAACGAAAGGAGCAGCCCAGACAGTCAACGACTTTTTACTTTTCTTCTTTTCCAGCGTTACATCCTCTGCCTCCACCTCCACATGCCTTTCAGCATCGCAACTTTTTGATACCTCTGACTTGGACAGGCGACGTTTTCGATGACTGCCTGATAACAACCCGACAGAGTGCTTCCGGCGCATTGTCGTTTCTGAAGCTGCCACAACGGGCAAATGCTCTCCATTCGTGACACCGTTTGACTTCGTCTCCTCGAGTTTGGTGTCACCTTGATCATGATTAGTGATAGGGACGAACTCTGCCGACACAGTATCGTGAGACTTAGCGTCTCCGTTGCACTTCAGTGTTGCGCGAACAACTGCCATTGCATTGCGCACCTATGAGGCAAAAAAAGCCCTGCCAAAGAGCAACATTTTCAAATCTTGTGGGAAACCAGTTCCACAACGATGACAAGGAGCTCTGCTCACTCAAACTATGCCTCTGGTCCCCCAGCACTTAATGTCTGTCTATTACAGAGATCTTTCTGGGCTTTGAAGAAGAGAATGTAGCAGTTCTCCACCATGCTTTAGTGAAGGCCGATCTAAGTGGGTAAACTAGTCACTGTAGAAAATATTTATCCGTTGTGGATACCCCCTAAATAGATTTCATTATATCTCCAGATGAACTCACAGGAAATGGCAGGTTGCTCTCGTATAGCACGTGACCATCAATGAAGTGTGAAATTATTTTACGCTCCACTGTGGACTGTGTAACTGGTGGTGCAGGCGACGACGGTGGCTGCATTGCTCTCTTTGGAGGATGGGCTCTGGATCTTGACTGTGGGGGTAGTGGTGGTGGCGGTAGGGGAGGAGGAAGTGATGGAACTGTTGACAACGCTGGTGAAAACACCTCGGCCCTATCCTTCACGTTCTCCTCCTTCCCCACCTCCTCCGTCTTCTCCTCCCTTGGCACTGCACTGTCCGTGGCCTCAGATTTGGTTATACATGCGTTAGCATCCCTTCGTCTTGTAGTTGACTCCTCATGAAGTCTCTTACGAGGCGGACCGTGGACTGTGTTTCTAGCCTTTGACACTAACGCTTCCACTGCTGTCAACGAGGAATTGACGCTGGAGGATGTGACTGCAGCTGCTGAGGGTTTGGTCGCCGTTGTCGTTGAAACGACCACAAGAGGGGAGAAAACAGGGGCAAGACCCTTGTCAACTGTGGTCTTCGAACCACACTTGCCGGTAACGGTAATGCCAGAGTTAATGGCCGCGGATGCAGAGCATTTTCGACCAAGCGATGGCCTCCAACGTCGTGCTGACACTGAGATGTTGGCCAATGGTGACATCGCACCTCCGTTCACCGCCGTTGGTGTCAGAGACTTCTCACCATCAGTCTTCAACGAAGTCTGAAAACAAGAAAAATCAAATTGAGCGCAATTATACGAGTTCAAATTCATGCTTCAGAATGAACTCTTAAGGTTAACTTACTGTTGAAGTTAAGTTTGGAGAATTGGATGGGACAGTTGTGAGACGATTGGAGACAGAGGAAGAGGAGGAAGTAGTGGTGGCAGTGGTAGTCGGAGTGGTGGTTACGGCAGTGGTGGTCGTCACGAACGTAGGGTAAATTACTTCACCACTGGAGATTGTCGCTGTGGTGAGGGATGTAGGCTGAGCTGAGAAGATGGGCTGGAGAGGAGGGATCGACTGCGCTCCTGTTACAGTCGCCATCCAAGTACTCATGTCGGGGATGAACAGACCCGTCAACTGCATTCAATTGAGGTAAATAAACGAATAGGCTAAAGTTACTTAACTCACCGCATTATTTGCACAAATTAATTCAAATCAACGGATGTAGAATCTACTTCAGAGACGATGTGTTAGGGTGGCGCAAACGGCACAAAAGCGAAGCAGGGATGTGACTCATGGCTTTAGGTCAAACTAACTAGCAATTACGAGTTTCAATTCCATCAATCGCACAAACAAAACACACCATTAGTTGAGGACTCTTCCTTTGGTTTCTGTAAAAACCGATTATCACCTCGAGGCTCCTAATTTGAAGTTGGAAAGGCCCACTTTTGATGAATTGTCTATTCAGCCCATATGATGCAGCACTGAGTGCTTGGACTATTAATAAAAGAAGTATTAGGCGAATCAACGATTGAAGAATGAGATGTAGCATTCTAGCGAGAGATATCAACACTAATTTGGCAGCAACAAGGTTTAGTACGGCTCCATCTCGACAATTTCGCACAACGGGATGAGGTTCGCTAAGTTCAACGTATGCGGATTCGAATGAACGAGCGAAGTCGTCCAATAATTCTACGTGAGGGGCTACGATACGGTACTTTTAGCCTACTGGCTAATTGAAGCTAGTGTCAAAATACTGCCACAATCCAACCAGTCTACTCGGTGTCTTGTCAGTGGTCCAGTCTAGAGCTTTGGGTGACAAACTGGTCTGAAAACGGGCAAACTTTGAGAAAAAGCTGGTCACTGTAATTCTATCACTATATCTGAAAACTTTTCAATCACTGGAAATCCATAGAAAAAGGCAGTAGATAAACGTCAAAGCAAATGTGATAGGTTGGTCGGTTATGGAAAATGACTTTCCTCGTTATTCTAGCGCTTCATTTTATCAAGTTCATGGAAAGCAAAGGACGAACACCGAAATTTGGAGCGCATCATCAGGTCTACTCCCAAACTCCATCACCTTGTCCCATACTCAGACATCTCTCCCTAGAAAACGGATTATTTCAGAATTATACGAAGGGCAGGTCAACGTCGCAATTCCACGGTCAATGCTCTCCGCTCCTTCCGTTTCTATTAACAAACCCAGGTAAAAGTTGCTGAAATCATAACACATAGCACCAGATTCATGTAATGCAAAGGTAACTCTAGACTAATGCGCACCTAACACACGATTTTAAAGAACAATAACGAAGTTGAGAAACTCACAGGAGTGCGCGTCGCACCAGTGTGCTGCACGGACGTGAGCCCGGGCGCCGGAGCCAGTGGCGGCGGAGGAGGGAGACCGCCCGCTGTTGAAGCATTGGCGGTAGCAGCGGAGAGGTTGGAAGGGGTACGAGAGAAATGCGGTGGTGGCGGTGGTGGGAAGGTCTGTGGAGCGAACAAAGGCGGTGGAGGCGGAGGCGGCGGGGGTGGTGGGGTGAATTGGAACCCTCCGGGGCCTGTAGTTTGACTTCCTCCTCCTGTCGTCACCGTCGTCGACGGTATTGATTGAAAAAGAACACCGGATGCTGCGTCTGAAAAGGAGGGAGATGGAGATAATCAACTTACCTTGACATAACTAGAAGTCCAGATAATAAAAAGCCAAGCTGATAGCGAGCAGCCTGTGGACTGACGTGTGATCAAGTTCATGTGACGCAAAATGTGTAAATTTAAGGCGAAATTCATCCGATTCAGATTCATTTAAAATAGGTTGAAAATCCGACAAATGTGTTGCGGAGTTGGGAAAATTATCAACTCAGCGACAGTGGGATAGACAGTTAGTGTCTAATTTTATGTTTCGATGTCCCGACATCAATTAAGACGGGTTTTTCATGGAAAACGACTGCCAATCAACTATGAAGATCAAAAGTCACTAATCGCGTTGATGTAATTGGATTTTCTCTAAAATAACGCGATAAACAAATGTCAAATCATGGGGAGATTTACTAATACGTACCGGAAATAGGCAGCGATAAAGCAGATCACATTTGGCAAAAATGATAAGAAATCTTACACCTTTTCAAGCAAGAGTGACCTGGCCGATACTGGCAAAATTACTTAAACCTTGCTATGGTGATTTAAAGGTGAATGCTTTGTTATGTTCAGTCAGAAGTGAAGAGAAATGAATTGTAAAAAGCCGCTTCCTCTCCTAGCCTATACGCGCTTAATGGCCTCATTTTGACCATTCTTTCTTAAGCACAAACCAAAGTTTATGTGTACGGTTAAGCGGCTAAATAAGCGAGTAATTGCACTTGCTTCAGAAAAAAAAAAGAAGTTTCATGGCGAAACCAGAGCAGAGAGCTCGAGAGTGCGGCTAGCTAGAGGACGTATGCGCGAGCACGCACAAGCACACAGTAAGTGGGTCGATGTATTGAGTAAGAAGCGCCATTCTTACAGCCAATTCTGCCAACCCTGACCACGAATGAGCTAGCCGTGGATCGCGTGGGAGACCTGAGACTTGGGAGGTGAATACACTTACAGGTGTTATCGGGGAAAAAGTGTAGCATACATAAAAAAGGGAGGAGAAAGAAAGTATTGACTGAAAAGGCAAGAGAAATAAGCTTTCAAAGCTCGCCTCCCCCAGTCCACTGTTACGACACAAAAATAGCCAACTAGCACTAGTTTATTGTCCTGTGACCAACTACGATGATCGGATGGGGCAAGACGATAGCGCTTGAATGAAAAGATCGCAAATCAAATAAAAGCCGAACAGCATAGTGAGGTGACCCAGTAGGGCATCGATAACAGCATCTAACCCTACAACAAAATACTGATGAGGCGTACCAGTATCAAACACGATGAAGGAATGATAATGGGAAAGCAGTGTTACAGTGACTCATCGAGAGGGCTAAGCACGTAAACGACACATTACCTACTAAATCTGGTCTCTCAATTAGCCACATTGAGGTAATCACTTAGTTTTAATGATGATGCGTATCATGTGATTCAATCATGATGAGACGTGGAGTCAGCTCAATGGAACGACTAGGCATAGCAGCGATGTGCATTTCACTAGACCTGTTCCGTTAAAAAAATATAAGCCAAGATAATCCTCTGACAGGCTAGTGAATATCAACGCCGATACGAAATGGTGGAAAATCGACTCGATGATCTAGCCAAATAACAACAATGTTATTGTACTCAGTAAACCTGCTTTCAAATATCAGACAATTTTGTAAGGCGAAAAGATGAAGAGGGACCCACTGAGGTAGCCAGGCATGGCAGCGAGGTTAAAGAGATGGATAGGCGAGGGCGAGACTGCAGAGGAAGCAGAGGGAGGGGGAGTGAGAACGGACATAAACTGTACACCGTTGGCTTGTTGGGGGCTCGAGGCCGCCGACAGTGTCGGTCCCGGTGGTGGAGGCGGTGGTGGCTGCGAGGGAAGAGTCTGCAACCGAATTGTCGTCGCGGCGAGAGATGGTGCAGTCAGGTGGTGTGATGCTGGTGTTGGACTGGCCGGCACTGTGGTCGACACGTGACTACCGCTGCCGCCCTCCAGTCTATAAAAGGGCGGGGACCAATGAAATGATATTTCAACTACAAATCTGAATCATTTGTTTGTGGCTTGGAGGTCCGCTTAAGCTAAAGCGTCAATGCGCCTAACACCCACTTTCAAGAGAGTTTCGGAATCGATCGAATAACTGCCGAACGAAGTACTTCACAGAAAAAAAAAGGATTTGGGGGATAACAAACTAAAGGAGATTCCCAAAAGGGCCATGTAGCAGCGTATTCACGATGTAGGTGGTTCACTAATACAACGTTAATGGCATTTAAAAAGAATCAGATGGCCAAAAGGGAGCACACAAGGTTGCGAAAGTGAGGACGCCCAGCTTGCCGCAATAGAATACCATAGATTGATCGCTTTCATGCTTGTACGTAAAACCACTTCCAGTTACCAACGGCAACAACAGTGCACAAAGGTACTTCGGCAACCCACCTGGCATTATTCTAACCCCAGAGCTTAAAAAAGAATGGAGCTGAATAAAACGAAGCGGTTACCAGATTTGGGTGGGCTGGAAAATATCGTATTTCCCTAAGAGAAGATGGGAGAAATATCGTGCAGAAACAAGATGAGATGAACAGAGACATGAATGTATCAAATTCACAAAATGCTTTTAATGGATGCAAAGCCTAATCACTAATAACGAACTCACGTGCTAAAATGTTGGGGGATGAAGGGACGAATAGGCTTTTGTACACGATGGGCGGGAGTGGAAGTGATTGTGACTGAGGTGGATGTAGTCGATGCAACAGAAGAGACCTTGGGGGTCGTTCTAGGCGAGGCTTTCAGCGGAGGAGGAGGTCTTCTAAATGTACCCGGCGCCTCCTCGGAAACAATCACAACAGCTGAAATGAGAAAACCAGCGGCCAGTAAACAAATTCGATTTACTGAGTTACAGTTAAGAGGGGTTACTAAAGCAACCTACGAGGCGCAGGAGATTCGAGTGGAGAGGGAGTGTTGGCAGTGTCACCGAGATCCAAGACCAAGGGCCGATCGTCAACATCGTCGTCATCATCATCAATTTCCATCGCCTCTTTCTCGATGTCAACAACCACGCGCGTAGTCTCTGATTTATCGCTGGGAGGGCAGCTTATTAGGGGACCGGGAACCAAGGTCGTTGTGGCATTTTTCTGGTCCTAAATTTGGAAAACAATGCACATAAATTTAATGTCAGCGTTCAGAAAATACCTGCGGACTTATGCGTCTGTAGAATTACAACAAACCTGAACAATAGAAG